TTCTTGAGATCTTGCATGGAGCCCCAGATCGAGGGAGATTATCAGTGGTCTTGTATGTCTTCCATTTTCTAATAATTGCTCCCACAGTTGATTTCTTCACACCAAGCTGCTTACCTATTGCAGATGCAGTCTTCCCAGCCTGGTGCAGGTCTACAATTTTGTTTCTGGTGTCCTTTGACAGCTCTTCGGTCTTGGCCATAGTGGAGTTTGGAGTGTGACTGTTTGAGGTTGTGGACAGGTGTCTTTTATACTGATAACGAGTTCAAACAGGTGCCATTAATACAGTTAACGAGTGGAGGACAGAGGAGGCTCTTAAAGAAGTAAGTTACAGGTCTGTGAGAGCCAGAAATCTTGTTTGTTTGTAGGTGACCAAATACTTATTTTACCGAGGAATTTACCAATTAATTATTTAAAGATCCTACAATGTGATTTCCTGGATTCTTTCCCCCCATTCTGTCTCTCATAGTTGAAGTGTACCTAGGATGAAAATTACAGGCCTCTCTCATCTTTTTAAGTGGCAGAACTTGCACAATTGGTGGCTGACTAAATACTTTTTTGCCCAACTGTATAAAGGACATGAAAACGTGGATTTTGCATGATAGGTGACCCTTAAAATTCCTTTTGAATGGTGCTGCTGACCAATCAAAAATGCTGCAGTAGTGAAAACTATAGATATGAAGAAGCAGCAGTGTTGCATAAGTCATGTTTTGTGCTTTTCTATTTAGGGGAGTAGAATATTGGGGTGTGATGACTTTTTTTCGGTGGCTAGGCTAAGCAAAGAGCATCCATACACAAGTATTCTTAACATCTTTGTTGTTTAAAAGAGGGAAAATATGATCGGTTGTTGCACGATCGTGAATGAAAAGTGTTACAGAGCCTTCCCACATTTATCACTGTGTGAGAGCCTCCCTACCAGTGATGTAGATGAGAGCGTCCCAAGGGATTTTGCCCTCTTTGCAGTAGAGGCTGAGGTTGAGCAGCGCACACTCCCTGTCACTGTCGTTAAACTCATAGCGGATGTTCCAGCCCAGAGGACCAAACTTCTTCCTCTCCTAAGACACACACATGCAAAAAAAGACAAAAATAAGGACATAGAGGGACAGGAACAGACCTCAGAAAAGCCATGCATGCATGAAAGTAAACAAAAATGATCAAGAATGTGTGAGTTGGTGTGTAACCTGGATGATTGCATGGAAAAAGCACATTCCAAAGATTATCTTCCTCCATTCGCGTCCCAGAACGTTATCTTCAAAGAAATTGCTGGAGATCTCTGTGAAGGCCCGTCGCATGTTGGCGCGGAGGCCTTTAGGTGGCTCATTAGTCACCTAGCAACAATGATAAATAGGAACATAGGTGTTCATTAGGCGCGTTCACACCAAGTACTTTTCCCACAAAGGTTCCAGAGAACTCTTTAGTTCTCATGAACTAAGTACAGATCGCGTTCATACCGGAAATTAGTTCCTGGGGGTGGATTAGGCAAATGAAGCCGCTGACGTCACTTCTTCTTCTTCTGCTTTGGGTTTACTGGCAGGCCGCAAACAACTTCACGGCGTATACTGCCACCCAAAATCCCCGGCCGGAAGTCCCCGGAGTTAGGGCTGAACGAGTAAACGGCCAGAACGCCGACACCTCCTCATCTCCACCGCTCCCATGTTTTATTTTGAGTTGTCATAAGTTAGTCTNATTCCCCTGACCTGAACCCCATAGAGAATATGTGGGGTATTGTGAAGAAGAAGCTGAAAGACACCAGACCTAACAATGCTAATGAGCTAAAGGCCGCTATTGAAGCATCCTGGGCATCCATAACACCTCAGCAATGCCACAGGCTGATTGCCTCCATGCCACGCCGCATTGATGCAGTAATCCGTGCAAAAGGATTCCCAACCAAGTACTGAGTGCATTAATGGACATTTTCAAATGTTTGATTGTGTTTTGCTGTTATAAATCTTTTTTTTTTACTTGGTCTGAGGAACTATTCTAATTTTTAGGAACTATTCTAATTTTTTGAGATAGGATTTTTGAGTTTTCTTAAGCTGTATGCCATAATCAGCAATATTAAAATAATAAAAGGCTTGCAATATTTCAGTTGATTTGTAATGAATCATTTTTGTTTTTTTAATTGCATTACTGAAAATAAAGAACTTTATCACAATATTCTAATTTTCTGAGACAGTCCTGTATTGTTTTTATGTTATTTTTTTGAAAAAGGGTTATAACATCATTTGCTAACTGGTACATGGGGATCATCTGCAGTCAGGATGAATCGCTCTGCTTGTATTGAGTCTACAGCACTCATTTTTCTTTCAATCTATGTATCTGCTCCTGGCAGAGATAACCAAAATGTCATTTCTTCTCCACTCTGACATCATTTCTAATCCCCTTATTTCTTATTGCCTTTGTTCTAAGATTAAGACAAACTTTATTAATCCCCCATGGGAAATTCAAATCTTGTTTTGTCATTTACTTTCTATCACACACACATGCCTGAAAAAGACATGCAAACACAGGACCTATACTCGTACATTAGTGGAGGGTTGTCAGAGCATCCACCATTCTATTCACCTGTTTTTGTTCAGCATTGTAGTGTATGACTTAAATACATTTCATTACATTCAAGTCCTTTGTTGGCATATCACTTTGATTTTGAGCTAAATTCTGTAAGCTAGCAATTTGCATCTTTATTGTAAGTCTTAATTACTGCATTTAACATTATTGTATGACTTTCTCTTTTCTGTTCTGTTGAATTTATGTTCAACAAATTAAATGATGTTTCATGTTTTTTAGCTGATAGCCTCAGAACCATAGAGATCCTATTGGAGCAATTTTAGGTTCAGTGCCTTGCAGAGAGACACTTTGAAATGTTGAATTCAGAGAACCACAAAACCTTTGATTGGTATACTATACACCTATTTAACCCCTGAGCCACAGCCGCCCCAAATATTTGAAACCCATATATATTTTCTCAGCTGAAAATCTTATGTCACTATTTTCTTTTTCCCTTCTGCTACGTCGTGTTTGTCCAGTGGCCGCGTGAGGCGCTGCTCTCCGTCTCCCGGGCCTTCTTCCAGAACGTGGACTTTGGCAGCGAGGAGCTGAAGCAGAGATTCTCCGCCATGTGCGTGGAGATCCACGTGAGCGTCACTGACATGGCCGAGCGGTTCTACTCTGAGCTGAGACGCAGATACTACACCACGCCTACCTCCTACCTGGAGCTCATTAACCTCTACCTGTCCATGTTAGAGGACAAGAGACAGCAGCTCATTCTTGTAAGTCCCCCCCATCAAAATGCATAAGTTGTTATCCGTGTTGGATCTTTCCTGACATTTCAGAGGAAATACCGTAGCAGCTAGTTAGATGTGGTTATGGCAATTGTTTCTTTGTTGTTGATTTTGTCTGCATGTAAAATGTGGATAACATACCTTTTGTGTGTGGGGGGTTCTACATAGGCCAGGGATCGCGTGAAAAACGGTCTGACCAAACTGCTGGAGACCAATGTGCTCGTGGACAAAATGAAAGTGGACCTGTCTGCACTAGAGCCTATCCTGAAACAGAAGTCCAGCGATGTTGACACCCTGATGGAGAAACTGGCTGTAGACCAGGAGAGCGCTGACGAGGTGTTTGTGTGTGTGTGTGTGTGTGTGTGTGTGTGTGTGTGTGTGTGTGTGTGTGTGTGTGTGTGTGTGTGTGAGCATTTCACATGATGTGTGTATGAGAGATTTTTACATATGTCTGTAAATGATTTTGGTTTCAGTTGTGTGCGTGTGAGCAGGCTCGGATTGGCCATCGGGAGATTCGGGACTTTTCCCGGTGGGCCGCTGCCTTTGGTGGGCCGCTGGCTCTGACATAGGTGCGCCGTGGACTTTCACAGCGCTGCTGCGCCGGTACCGCACCCGCCGCTGCAAACACCCGCCGTCGCATACACCCGCCGTTGCGAATCTCCGGCGGTAACAGTCTACTACCGCCCGCGAAGACCCAGGCCTGAGGTCCAACATTTTTTTTTTATAATAATGATAATCTCTCGTTCATCGCGTCCATTCACGAACCACCTACGACCCACCTATCACATCTCTGCGCCCCGCCAGTGGGGCGCTCCCCACACTTTGAGAAACGCTGCTGTACAGGCACAACATGCAAATATGAACTTGAACATTTGCATTATAGGGTCCCCTAGCAAACTAAAAAAGTATAACTGCAATTTAGCTTCTGGTTTACCCTTGGTAAAGCATTATTCAGTATGTTTTTCAGCGCCTCACGGAGTATTTCAATGTTTTTCATTGTATTTGAATTGTTTTATTTTAAGATACAACGGTTGTTATCATTTAATGCTGTCTGACAATAACTCTCATTAAAACATAGTATCGTCGGTCATTTTGCTAGAACAAAAAGCATCCTCATTTCAAATAATGAACAAGAATATTTTTGAATTACGCAGGGTTAGAATTAATTATTAAATATATCCTTTTCTATTGAAAATGCATTACTGTTAATATAATTAGTGAGTCTTAGGCTGACTTCACACCAAAGCAAATTCTTCATTATTCAAGGCAAATTGTGATTAATACATTATTTCACTTTTTCTGTTCTGCATTGATGAAAAAAATAATAGAAACCAATTTGTGTTGATTGTTCTGTCACTAATCTAAAAATCTCAAATAGAAAGAATATCACAGCATAGTATAATAATAATGTAATGCAGGAAGCAGCATTAAACAGCAAAAAATCAAAAAGAAGCAGCATTCAAAACATCAAATATGTTGATGTAAAACCAAATCTAAATCTGTATTGTGGCAGTGAAGTGACTATGTTGTAATGCTGCTGACCTTTGCAGGATGTATTAATTATTATTATTATATTCAGCTGCCAAAATACAAATATAAACATTGTACTTAATTCATAAAATAGTATGCCATTAAATATCAAAGCGTAATGGCAGCCCACTGCTCCTAACACTAGGACGGGTCAAATGCAGAATGTACATTTCCCCTCTGTGGGACTATTAAGGGTATATAAATAAATAAGAAAATAAAAGCAATATGTAAAAATAATGATTATTCAATTCTATTTTACTTACTTACTTTACCTTTTGTATCAACTCCCCTTTATAATAAATTTTTTACGAAGTGTTCCTCTCAAATCATTTTTATTTTTCAATGTATTTATTTGAAATGTATTTGTTCCTTTTCAAATGTTTATTTAGTTGTGTATTTATTGATTCATTTATAGATGATTTCCCCTTTGTACTTTCCACCTTGTTTATTTTTCTGAACTTAGTTGTTTCTGTATTTTTCTTAAATCATTGGTAAGAATTTCACATGATTTTTGGGTTATTTGCATCATGAGCTTTTTGAAAAGTATATCGTAAAATAGTTTAACATTTAGGCACACCATTAAAATTGTTTTAATTGTTAGTGTTATAAAAGTTTGATGTAGACATTTTGTAGCGGAAAGAGGAAACGATGAGTCATGAATAATTATGGCGAATGTGTCAACTTTATTCTGAAGTCCGGATTTCCTATGAACACTTTCTGTGTCTTCCTCTCTTCTTCCTGCGCTCTCACTTCCCCACTATCTGTTCGTCTGTCAGTCACTGTCCAACGTGTACAGCCTGCTTTGCACTTTGTTTATTAGACTTACTCAATCCGTCTGTTTCTGTGCAGGGTTTGAACCTGATCAGAGGCAGTTGTGTTACAGTGCGAACGCATCCCCAAACCTGTAAATGGTGATGAGGTGTCTGACTTTGCGGGGCATTTCAGCTAACACCATCAGGACATGTCAGTTCGGAGGTGAACCCTTTCTATTATTAATACCACTTTCATACACGGATGGTGAGAAAAACAGATTTGACTTGCTGCAGTACGTTTCTGCCCTTGGATTGGGAAAGCACAGTGATGCAGTGTAATGTTTTAATTGTGTGCAAGTCAACTAGTGCATAGTGACTGCACAAATGACTTCACACATGCATGATTTTCTGTTTAATCCACAGCCACTGACCTCTTTTATTAAACTCCTTTCTCCTGATTTAATATTTTATGAGACAAAATATGCACTCTGAAAAACTATGAATGTACTTTAGGCCATTTTGCTATTAGGTTAGGATTCATAATAAGGAGGCAGGGGGAGGAAAGGAGTAAAACAAGACTATATGGCACAGTCACTCTAAATGTGTGTGGTCTTCAGCTGAGTTTGGTGATGTACAGTTTTTGAAGCTTTTGTTAGCTCCAGGCTAGGGCTGCTCGATTATGGCAAAATCATAATCTCGATTATGTTGGTCAATAATTGATATCACGATTATTAAAAACAATTATCCATTTACTTTGAAAACATCAATTTATTGAAAATAAAATGTGAACAGTATGTTTTTAAGTATAATTCAAATGAAAAACCAATACAAATGTTTACAATATACTAAATAATTTAAAATTTAAATAAATAAAAATGTAATCGTTTTATTTCGATTTTGTTGTTTTCATAATCGTTGCAAGCCAAAATCGTAATTGCGATTAAAATACGATTAATTGAGCAGCCCTACTCCAGACCCTAGTTCAGGCATCATACCGAAAACCCATGTAAAATTAAATTTGACTTTGAGACGACGAAACAGGAAGTGGTAAAAAATGGCGACTCATTTCTAGATTTAATGCTATAGTTCATGTGAATTGTTTTTCATTTGTTTAGAAAATGTATTTACCTGTGAATGTGTTGATTAGGCCTCAGTCATGCATAAAGTCGCACCTGTTTGGCCCAGTCGGAACATATGCACAGTCCCCACCCAGGGGCGCCGTAAGGGGGTGAAAAGTTAGGACGATTCTAAGGGCCCGTGACTGACAGGGGCCCAAACAATTTTAGAACATTAAGAAAAAAATGTTTAAGTAACCAATGTGATTATCTTTTCATGGGGCCCAAAATCCCTGGCGGTGCCCCTGTCCCACCAAAGACCAGATGAGGAGTGTGCCAATCATTCTACAAAGTGCCTTATGCAGTGGATCTTACAGGAGGGGCAGGTGTGTGGTCTTTACGTTACACTAACCACACAACGTCCAGGGAGATCTGTTCCATCTGACCTGTCAGGAACGGTACCAAAAAAAACAGCTAACATTATTCACCAGGATTGCTTAACTCAAACCCCCACAACCCAACTGATGTGTTCCATCTCAGGACCAGAAGAAGGGAAGCTCTTCTGGGACAGTCTGCAGGGAGGGGTGGACTGTGGGACAGCTCTGCATGTTGACAAATTAAAGGTTTGTGTATTTGTTTGCATGGTCTGATTAAAATTGAATTCCAGACACCAGCAGTTGTCTGTCTATGCCCAATGAAGCCTGAGATTAGATATGAACAAGTCATCACTCTTCTGAGCGTGCATGTGTGTTTGTGTGTGTGTGTGTGAGCTGCCAAACTGTCCTAACTAATATCAGTAAGGAGATTGGATCCCTCCTGACTTACAGTATCTCAATAATTCGTTCCTGCTGGGAAATGAAGAAGGACTCTGCCCTTTCACATCCGGGCTCACGTTAAACGCATCAGCCCTGGGAGCAGAGAGGCTTAAAATCTTAGTGCAGTATAGTCTGAAGCTTGGCCTTAAACTTCAAGGAATAGACACACATATACCATTTACAAATAATGTTCCCAAGATAGGAAACCACAATATTTTTCGATTTGGTGTATGAGATGTAAACATTCAAAAAGAATAAAAGTTGTTCAATTAAATGTAAGGCAGTGTGAAATTGGGATATGTGACAGCTTGTCAATAAAAAATAAAAAGCATTAAAAAAACTGATCAAGTAGATAATAGGCTCAGCTGTTGGCACACTGTTATTTAAAATGTAGTGGTTAAATAGTTTGACATTTGGGAATCATGCTTATTAGCTAGCTTTTAGATTCATTCGGATCTGAAACTTTTACAGTAGAAAAATCAACATTTCCTGTTTTATTGTGTTTTTTGTAAGATGTAAAATGTCACTTTTCATTGTATGCTAAGAATAAAACGTGCTGTTATTACCAGACACATGAGATAAAATCTGACGTTACCACTGTCTAGTCCAGTCAGATCGACATGAGCAACCCTGTCATAACCCGGCCACACGTTGGAGGGTGAAAGCACTTTTAAAATGTAATATTTAGTGAATTGGTGCATGTCAGCCACTCAAATGCCAGTAATTATCATTTCTTCTTTATTTGTCATGTACAGTGAGCGTTTATGGACATCCTTTAAACGAGAATGAATCCTATTGAGCAGAGAGGCACAGACCACAAATAAAAAGACACTCAAGTTGACTAAAATACAACACTGGTGATTTAAGAAGAAGCAAAAGAAGTATGTGATAGCGTGGCAAACAGTCAAACTCTCATTTACAGTGTACTTTTCAATATCATTCGACAGTTTCACCTTTGCACGATGCAATTTGAGTCAATTCAACATAGCTGTGACATGTCTTTTATCCAGAAGATCTACATATCTTTTAATATTCTCAGTACAGTCAAATTTGCACATTTCCAACCAACACTTTCAGTGCCATAGGCTACTGTAAATGCTTCTCACATGAACAATGTATATTGTAGACATCAACGTGAGTAACTAACAGTATAGATAGGTCAGGTTATCTCTCAAAGTATCTACATAAATCAGTCCAACTCACCTGTTTCTAGAAGACACTTCTAATTCCACGTCTCATGAGAGTCACTCCACTGTGCATACTCTCCCAGATAAGTCAGAGATCGAGATTTTGCATATTCATCGATCTATTAAGTAGCATAGGCTACTTACGAAGACCCCATTTTCCCACTTCTGTGCACATGAACTTTGACAAGCAAAAATAACAAAACATGAGTTCCTTCATCAACAAAACAATTAAACTGTTCTCCCATCGTCAGTGCTCAGCCTTTAGTGTTCACCTGCAGTAACCCCAGAATCTTACAATCTACACACTGTCCAATGAAAAATATACTAACATTAGAGGAATAATAAAACTTTTGGAAAATACTCTTACTCACTTTCTAGACAAGAGTTAAACAAGAAGATTGATACCACACTTGACATGTCCGTCCCAAATATATCAGGCTATGGTCTGCTGCCGATTAGCTTAGTTTAGCATAAAGACTGGCAACAGAGTTTTTTTCTATCAAATTGCTTTTAGATTTCACAAGTGTTTGTAAAATCGTTGGGCCACTATAGTCACAAGATGGAAATATGATATCGTGGCAGCCCTATTTCATTTTTTCTTTTTTTAGACATGGCTAAAGCAAGCAGTTAATTGTATATATCGACTGGAAACAACAGGAAACATCATCACTATTTTTATGTTTGAATACTTGTTTTTCTGTATGCATTAAATTAAAGAGATATAACATGTTAATTGGTGAGAGTAAATATAAAGCTAAAGCCAGTAGCTGCTTAGCTTAGCACAAAGAGTGGAAACCGTGACCAACGAGAGAAAGATGAGAAGATCCATGCCACCAGAGCAGTTTATATCTTCTTCTCGTGAGCTATCCCTTTGATATTACGAATATGCAACTCTAATACCAATACACTTTATAAAAAAAAACTGACCACATTGTAAATGTTTTAACCAAATAAATGTCAAATTCCTTTCTAGACATAAAAAGTGAATTAAAGATTATTAAATCATGATTAAATCTGCAACTCTTGATACAAAATGAAGGAACATGAAAATCAAACCTACTGCATGTACATTTCAGACAAGATTGGCTTCACCTTTTCCTGTCTGTCCGTAAGTGGAAATGGCATTTAAATGCTTCTCAGAGTCATAGGATGATGAATGGGAGTCAATGGTAGCGACTATTTGTCTCCACTTGGCCCATTGATCAACTGTAACAGCATGAAATCCGTTTCAGTTACTATTTCAGCAAAAGAACAATATTTGGTTGTTTTTGTTCTTCCATCCTTCCACTTTAAATGGCCAAGTGCTATTTTGGAGAGTTCCGTTAGTTCAGTTGCACGCGTTAAAGTGGGAACTTGCAAGATACTTGTATCTCTACAGATCAGATGGGACTCGGGTGGTGAGAAGGTTTAACACAAATGTGTTACATAAGGTCACGCAGTAATCCTTGTAGCATGTTGTTTCTAGAGATTAGAGAAGAAAGTGTTTGCCCTCGCTGAGTATTAGAGAGTAATAAAAACACATCACTCAGCACTACAAAGGATTAGAACCAAATGCATCTGTCCTGGGGCGATTTCCCATCAGACTTGTTTAGAAAAATCCCCCAAAAGAGCTAATATTGTCTTTAAAACAGGACTTGAGTTGATTTTCTTTCTTCATTCTGAGGTTTTTCTCCAAACACATCAATGCTTTGTGCAAGCACACAAGTTGGATGACAAGTTAGTAAGACAAACATTGAATTACACTCAAAATAAAAATACATTGTGATATTTTTATATATATTTAGCACAAGGGATGGAGGAAAGGAGAATTGTTGGGGGATCCCTTTTTAAATTACTTTTAAAAAACAGAGAGCAAAACTATTCATGTCTTTGATCTGGTTTTTCACTGGCAACGGTAAAACCATCTATTCACATTTAGGGATATAGAACCTGACTGTATGCTATACAATAAAAACAATTAAAATAGAACATTGGTGGAAAAAATAAAGTGCAAGGGAATAATGAAAGGCCAGAAAGAGGTACATAAGAAATAATCCTATATATATATATATATATTAAAAAGATGGAGATTTTTTCATTTGAGCTGAAATGACCTCCCAACTCAAGTATGTTAATCAACCATTTTAAATATTTATAGATTATTTTTAGTGATTTTTCAAGCAAAACCTTTGCTTTGTTCAGCTCTTCAAATGTGAGAAATAGTTTTTTACATATAAGATAGTATATGTATTATCTTTGAACTGTTGATTGGATACATCTTCATGGAATCTTGGGAATTACAGTCTCAATATTCTCTGACATTCTATATACAATAGGAATGATCACATAATCAAGACAGTTATTAAAAATGAATAACAAAGTAAAATAGGATGAGTTGCAGCTCTAGTTAAGAAGTTAAAAGACAAGTGAGATGTATAGTGCCATGGGTTAACACTTGGAGCTCTCAGTAAATTCTCCAACATTTATCTACAAAATGCCAAATAATTGCTAGAAAACAGGCCTTAAAAATGATTCCTAAAACTGTACTTTGAACTGTATGGACTGTACTGCAGTAACACCTGAACACATTTAGACATTTGTAGATGAGAAGTATACTGTATATACTCTGATGAGACATGAGACCCAGGTGGTGGCAGGTACATGATGTGGTAGAGCAGGAAAAGATTTGAAAAGTGCATTAGTGTGAGTTTCTAGATCATTAACCACTGCATGTAGCCTCAACCTCCTACGATGCATACTGCTAGCAAGGAAAGAGCCACCTTGAAAAGTAAAAATCACACTATCTCCAAACAACCACAAACATTTGAAGATGGAGGGACTTTTAAAATAACTGAAACGTGTGTGGCTTCATGTATTTGTAGCAGGGAGGCTACCGTTTTAATTGTGTCAGGATTTTAAGTTTTATCTTTGCCTCTGTTTTTCCGAGGGACGAGAGGGCTCTTATGCAAAGTCCTTGGACACTGCTTCTATGAAATTGGGAGCCGACATGAGGATGGTGAAGGTGCAGATAATGGAGAAGAGAGAGAAAGCCACCAAGCACATCCGATCCACCACCGCCGCAGCAAACTTCCACTCGCTACAAATCGCCAGTCCCTCGTCCTGCTCTCGGAACCTCCTGGCTATGTACTGCACCTCGTCGAGGATCCGTGAAATCTGCGGTACCTGCTCTGGCAGTAAAGTCTGCAACGGTTCTGAGTGGGCTTCTTGAAGGGAGGGGCCGTTAGGATGGCCGCCGCACAGCACCATGCCTGAATCTGTGCTTGGTGGGAAGGTGGGGTTTTCTGTACCCATGGTGTGGTAGCCAAAGTACAGGTTCATGTTCCCGTTGGTCGTGGTTGACTGGGTGGGCGCTTGCCCTGGTATGGTGCTCATCGGAATGCTGTTGGTGCTGGTATGGTGAGGAGCAGGAGCAGAAGGAGGAGGCTGGGAATACTTGAAGTTTGTGGGGTTACTTGAGCTCCCAGCTGTTTTTCTTTCCTCTCCAGGTTTCTTCATGCGGAGAAACCAAGCGCACCAGTTGAGTAAGACAATTCGCACCTAGATGAGAAGAGGAGATAAGACAGATAGATGGAAGACAGAGGAGAGAGAGTCATACACCAAAATATTTAAGTTCTATTCGTATGAGAATAAAAAATGGCGAGACAGTGACCCTGAAAAAATATGATACCCCAATCCCCCAAATATCGAGCCAGCTCTATATTTGTTAAGGTTTTAGTAGGGGATAATTCACAATGTTTCACTGGCATACAGAACAATTATGAGGTTTAACTCCCATAGTGTGCATTCATATTTAATAATGGTATGATTGAAATTGAAAAGCTAATCATTTTAATGATTTTTGTTCATATATTGGGGGTTCCCTTCATTTGCTTAAGACATTTGTCAACTTTAAAATCAAACAAAAGCTTAAAAATATCATAAAATAACTGCAGTCAGCTGTGTTTACACATTGCTCTTGCTTGTTTGATGACGGAAGCATTTGTGTTACATAAAAAGTTACTAACAATTTGGGTAAAAAGATGTGATGCAGCTTTGAAGTCACCAACCTCCCTGAAAAGCTGACCAATGAAATACTTTAGTAAATATTTTCATACAGTATCAAGGGTAAAAATGTGGGTAAAAACACATGTTAGTCAAGCTTTTGTGTTCACACAATCTTTGTCAACTTTTGAATTACATGTCACTCTACTACTCTAAAAAATAGGAGCCATAGCCTATATGAGTAGTTAAATGCACCAATATGAATAACTTGTGTGGTAATTACAAATGGCATATGATTAATTATTGAGTTTAAAAAGTACTTTAAACCTACCAATTTAGGCATCTTCCCTCCATGGGGGTCATGGTGGTGGAACTGTAGTACCAGGACTGTCATCACCACAGACAAGCCCACAATCATCATGGTGCTAGCAAAGTACTGAGCTGAGAGGAGAAGAGCAGACATGTTTGGCACAGCAATTTCCATTTGGAATAGAGACCATTACATTCTGAATGAAGTTCAAGTAACATGATAGGTAAACGTAGTGTTTTGGCAGGACAGTTGCGAAGTTGTTTGGTTAGTAGGGGTCAAGTTACCCTTGTCATCCCACCCCAGAGATGTGTGGGAGGCTGACTAAAATGTACTTCCTAATGTACTAACCCATTGGCATTTGCAGCCCCAGAAACATGAAAATGCATAACACATGAGCGTAGGTAAGTGTACTTCCCCCTACACACACACAGGCACGCACACACACACACACACACACAAACTTGAATACACAACAATGTTAGATATATTTCTGTCTTGAAACAAGTAATTTGTCATTTTGATGCAGCTTTGACGTCAGAAAAGCCGACCAATGAAATACTTTAGTAAATATGTTCACATCAAGGTATAATTGCAGATTGAAAACCTGTCAGGGTGAACGTTGATGAGTAATTAATTTTCTTCCATCAATCAGTTCTGCACCACCTGCTTTATGTTAGTGTGTCTCCTCCAATGAAAGGTGGGTTTGTTAAGGGGGTTGGTTCTGCATCATTGAGCTGCCAAATGATGCCGAGCAGCATCTCCTCCCATCCCAAGGCCGGCTTCCTCGTCTCTTATGATCTGCATCAGTGTGGCCTTTTACAATGCAGCTCGGTTGGTCCTCTACTCTGAGATTTATCTTCACAACCTTCCACGTCCAGCTGCCACAGGCTGCCCTGCGGTGGATGTGAGGTGTGAGTATCGAGGCAGTAAGTCATTCAGCTGTTTTTTTTTACACCGGATCAATAGTTAATGAGTAAAAGTCTCCATGCTGTAACATTCTGTAGCCTTTCTAGCATGTGCCAACTGCTCCCTGATGAATGTCAGATTCAGGTGCGAAAAATAAATACGCCATGTGTATAGAGTACCCCGAAAGGGGAAAAAACTAATGCTGGCTCTTGTGAATACCTTTCACGTTTCATTAATACCTGAAGACCCGTAGGTCCTACGTCACATTTGGAAAGGGAGCGGTGAGTGGAGGGGTTCTCAGTTTGTTGCAATCTATGAACGTACCACTAGATGGCACTAAATCCTACATACTTATACTTCAAGCGAATTCAAGGTATTTGCATTATTGCTGCACAAAATAAATATCTTGAGTATCTGGTTAGTTGATCACAAAAAATCATAAACACACACATATAGAGTTTGCGTTTGATTCTAGCTAGCGTACAGTAAATGTGTGTCTATTAGATGGGGTAAATCGATATGTACTGCACAAACCTGGACAGCAGGAAAACCGAGGCAAAAATGTCGCAACACACATTCACAGAAAAATCAATAGGAAGCTGGAGCCAGGAGATAGCTTAGCATAAAGACAGAAACAGGTAGCCATGTAATGTCTAAAAGAGCTAACAAAGGAGAGGCCTCATTGTTAACAAGATCATTAATTGGATCAGCTTCTGAAAGAGCCAGCGTGTCTCAATTCCCAGTCTTTGTGTAAGATACGCTAACAGGCTTATGGCTCTGGATTCATTTTTACCGTACAGACATGATATCACCCAACACCATGAAAGAAAATGTGTACTATTTTCATACTATTCCTTTAATGTACATTTCATATCATAATGAGTACATGTCTGCCACAAATAGCTATCTGTTAAGCACATCAACCCATTTCTTTTTCTGACTCATCCTGATTATTTCTTTCTTTTGCATCACTTTCAAAGTCAGAAAAATCATCAAAGCGAGCAATAGTTAGCATAGAAGTGTCTTACCGATCAGAGGAACAGAGTCTGACGTGGCAGGCATGATCTCTGCTACCAGTAACATGAACACTGTTAGAGACAGCAGCACGGTGATGCCTGCAGAGACAGTGGAGCAGAAGCACAGAGGATAGATCTTTTCATCACAAAGATGAACTTTTTTCTCTTAAAAGGTGGGGTAGGTAAGTTTGAGAAACCGGCTCGAGATACATTTTGTTATATTCCATGGAATGCTCTTAACATCCCGATAGCAATGAATAATATCTTAAGTGCTTTGTGTTACGAATCCAGGCACTTAGTATGTAGGACCCAAATGCAGACAGGGAGGCAGAGGTGTCTGCATTTGGGTCCTACATACTAAGTGCCTGGATTCGTAACACAAAGCACTTAAGATATTATTCATTGCTATCGGGATGTTAAGNCTCTTTAAAGAGTCCTCTCCTGCCTGATGTTCAGGTGTATATCAGTATGTAAGTGTCTCTACTTTAAAGAGTCCTCTCCTGCTGATGTTCAGGTGTATATCAGTATGTAGTGTCTCTACTTTAAAGAGTCCTCTCCTGCTGATGTTCAGGTTGTATATCAGTATGTAGTGTCTCTACTTTAAAGAGTCCTCTCCTGCTGATGTCTCTCTCTCTCTCTCTCTCGCGACACACACAAAATGGCTCGTTCCACACACACACAGAGCCGAGCTGTAATGAAACACAGAGACCCAGACGTAATAAGGTATCATATTATTTTCGAATCAATAATTTTTCAAAATATGATTTTTTTTATTTATTTTAATTTTTTTAATAACCATTTTTCCTCCTGGTCTCTCGCGCCCCCCCTGTCATGCCTCTGCGCCCCTCACTTTGAGAACCACTGCCTTAAACCAAAGAATGTTTTCAAAACAGTAAATCCTCAAAGTTTATCGTCCTTTTAATGTTATAAAGATGTGGCCTCAAAGCACTACAGTAAAAGCTCCCAACATGTTGACCGCGAAAAGGGCAGATGACTCATGTAAAAGGCATTAAAGCGCACTCAAAAAGTTAAAACAATGTATTCATCTCATTCATTCTGGAAAATATGTCTCAGAGCAGCTTTTGGTTGGAACAGTGAAAGGTCACACGCAGTCAGTGTGTGTTTATCAATTGGCATTTAAACCTCTAACTGATTAGATACATGCCCTTAAAATGAATCTAAATGGATAACTCACTCTTGATTTGTAGTGCAGTTTAATATCTGCCTCTAATTGGCTCTATAAATACATTTGGTTTGTATTACCCTTTGACATTTTAATAAACAACATACTGTGATGTAGAGAAGTTTTCTGTAAATGAAGTCACAAACATCGTAAAGATTAGGCCGTTCCAAAACTCATATTAGTGTTTTAAAATGTTTAATCGAGTTCTCCTAACTCTCTGAGGACGGAAAGACATTCCAGATGTTTCCGCTGACACAGATGTGGTCTGAGGTCTGACTCCCAGTTCAACGGGAAACAGTGGCCTGTTGTTGTTGTTGTTTTTTCCCCCGAAAATCTGCACGAAAAATCTTTCTCGTCGTTGAAAACTTGAAGTGCTATGGTTTACGAGAAAAAGCATCATTCTAATGTCCACATCCGTCTGTAGTTTCCGTTTCTCTTTTCTTTAGAAAGGACATTTCCATCAGTAAAACAACAACAACCTTGGTTTGTAAGAATGCTCTCTGCTGGCATAAATACACTTCTCTGTTGGGAAAGCACGCTGATGTCCAAGGCCGGTTCATTCTTCCTGTGACCTTGGACTGACTTTGTGGCAAACCATAATATGAAGTGTTTTGTTTCTCTGCGCTGTCTAGACACTCAATCTGATATCAAAGAAGACTTTCATACTTCTATTTAATCAGGATCAGAAGCTTTATCACCAGGTAGGTTTACACGTACGAGGAATTTGACTTGATGTCATGGTGCGTACATGAAAGTAAAACAAACATTTAAAACACAGATAGAGAACTATTATAAGAAAATATAGTAACATGTGTATATCAGTAGTGTCTCTACTTTAAAGAGTCCTCTCCTGCTGATGTTCAGGTTTATATCAGTATGTGGTGTCTCTACTTTAAAGAGTCCTCTCCTGCTGATGTTCAGGTGTATATCAGTATGTAGTGTCTCTACTTTAAAGAGTCCTCTCCTGCTGATGTTCAGGTGTATATCAGTATGTAGTGTCTCTACTTTAAAGAGTCCTCTCCTGCTGATGTTCAGGTGTATATCAGTATGTAGTGTCTCTACTTTAAAGAGTCCTCTCCTGCTGATGTTCAGGTGTATATCAGTATGTAGTGTCTCTACTTTAAAGAGTTCCATTACATTAGAGTTTCTACAGCTGCAAACATGAAGCTATTTAGATGTATTTGTTTTCATTCTAAGAGTGAGTCTCTTTTGTTTTTGCTTGAATGATTTTCAGAACTCTTGCTGAGACTTAACTGTTATTTGGCTCACTCCTTATTTATTTCAGTACGCTTGTGATTGCTCCAATTAGCGGGCATTTCACGAGAGGATTAGTATTTACATGGGATTATTATTCCTCTGGTGACGGTGCGTTAAGTGATTTCTAAACACACACTCTTACACTGTGCTGACAGCAGGGATTAACAGTGGTGTCATATTGTTCATTAGATCCAGGTTACAGTAACTTATCTTAACAAAGCTTATCTCCT